AAAAAGCATTGCCTAGTCCAAGGTCACAAAAGTTTACACTTATGTTTTCTTTTAAGAATTGTACAGCTTTAGGTTTTTTTATCTGTTTTGAACTAATTTTTATAAGTAGTATGAAATAGAGCTTAACTTCATTCTTTTGTGTGTGTGCATACAATTGTCCCAGCACCATTTGTTAAAGACACTATCCTCTCCCCATTGAATCTTGCACCTCTGTTAAGGTCAATTGGTCAGAGTTATGGATTTATTTTTGGACTCTTAATTGTGTTCCATTGATCTATATGTCTATCTTTATGCTAGTACCAAACAATTGTATATTAGTACCATACTGTTTTGACTGCTGTTTTATGTTAAGTGTTGAAACCAGGAAGTCTAAGTCTTTCAACTTTATTCTTCTTTTTTCAAGGTAGTTTCGACTGTTTGTTATCCCTCATAGTCTTGGGGTCCTAGGATCTTCTATATACAAGACCATGGCATCTCCGACTAGAGATAACTTTACTTCTTTTCCAAATCTGGATGCCTTCTTTTTCTCACCTAATTGCCCTGTCTACAACCTGCAGTACAGTTGAACAGAAGTGGTGAAAGCAGACATGTTTGTATTTTACCTGATCTTAGGGTATAAGGAGGATTCTTGTCTTACTTTCTTAGCTTTGTGCAGTTCTTGAAGCATTAATGTGGATGGCATATGAAGAGTTCAACAGGTTCTGTCTACTTGCATTTGTCCCTCAGTGGTTCTCCATGTCTCTAGATTTAGGGTAAGTTTGGTAGGTCACTCAAGTAGATTGTCTGTGTTTAACATATATATCTTATTGAAGGCTACCATCACTCTAAAAGGCTTATCTACTTTTTGCACAACTTTGTTAGCCATGCTTACAACTGGTATAGCCCAAATTAGAGCACTGCCTAAATGTTTCAACTTAGCTCATCTTTGTTACCTTGTAAATGTATCTTAATGTCCCTAAGGATGGCTTTTGTGCCTAGAAAGGATTATTCGGACAATATTTTTTGCTATTCAAATCAACTTTATGGGAGGTATTATTTGTACCCATAAGTAAAATGTACTCATTTTCCACAAGTTGTACAAAAAGTATAGATCCATGTTATCACCAAAAAGTTCCCCTGTGCCTCTCGACTATCCTTCCACTCCCATACCCAGAAACGACTGATTTACTTTCTGTCACTATAGACTTGCCTGTTATAGAACTTCATATGAATGGATTTATACACCTTTAGTAGTCTGGCTTCTTCCACTAAGCAGTGTTTTTTTAATATTCATACATGTTATTGTGTACATAAGCAGTCTGACTCTTTTTGTTGCTGAGAAGTATTCTATTGAATGGAGCTATCACATTTAATATTATTTCACCTGTGGATGAACATTTGGGTTGTTTCTGGCTTGGGGCTATTATTAAAAAGGTTTCTATGAACATTCATATGCAAGTCCTTACGTGTGTTTTAATTTTTAGAAATTGGAAATGGAATTACTGGATCATATGGTAAATGTATGTTTTACTTCATTAAAAACAAAAACTTGCCAAACTGTTTTTCAAAGTGAGTGTACAATTTTACAATCCTACCAGTAATATATAAATTATTTTCAGTTAATCCACAGTCTCATCAATATTTGTTGTTTTTATTGTTTTAATTTTACCAGTTTAGAAATGCATAGTGGTATCTCATGGTTTAAACTTGAATTTCTCTGGTGACTAATGGCGTTGAGCATCTATCTGTTCATGTGTTTATTGGCCATTTATATATCTTCCTTTAAGTAGTGTGTGTTCAAATCTACTGCATGCTTTTACCAGTTGTCTTTTGGAGTTATAAGAGTTCATTATACATTCTGGATACAAGTACTTTGCTAGATAAATGTATTGAGCATACTTTCTCCTAGGCAATGACTGGGAGAAATTTATTTATTCATTCTCAATTCTTTTTAAGCAATGTTTTTCAAACAGCAGAGGTTTTTAGTTTTAACATTTTATTTTTACTTTTTTTAGATGATATTTGATATGAAGTAAAATCCACTCACTGAAGCACACATTCCTTCACAGCTCCACAAGACTTCATTCTTTTGTAATTCATTTTTTAAATGGACAAATATTCAATATATTGATGGCATATGACATGCTTTGTTATAAGGGGAAACCCCCCAAAACCCCAGAATTTATTAAAAAACTGTATATTTATTTGTATATGTTTAAACTTCAACCACCTTCAAAGTACTATCAGTTTGATGCAATACACCTATCAAAATGCTTTTCCACTTCTCAAAAGTTTTTGAAATCGTCAATTTTGATGACTTTTAGTGCTTCTGCCACTTTTTGTTTCACTCTTCCATATCAGCAAAACATTCTGTTTGAGGACTTTTTTCATCCCAGGAAACAAAAAATAGTCACTTGGGGTGAGATCAGATGAATAGGGAGGGTGGGACACAGTGGCCATGCAGTTTTTGGTCAAGAACTGCTGAACACTCAGCACAGTGTGGGGAGGTGCATTGTCATGGTGAAAGAACCAGTCACCTGTTTGCCAGAGCTTGGGACATTTCTTCCACAGATTGTGAGGCAACCTTCTCAAAACTTCCAGATAAAAACTTTGGTTGGCCATTTGATCTAGAGGTACAAATTCTGAGTGTATTACAAGGGGCCTACCCTCAAAAAAAATTCTACTTCTTTTTGGGTTCTCCCCCATATGTCTACAACGTAAAATGACTAAATCAAGTTAATCAACTTATGCATCATCCACATACTTTTTTTTTATGGTGAGAAGTCAAATTTATTAATGTTTTCCTTTACAATTAGTGATTTCTGTGTACTACCTAAGAAATATTTTCCTATCTCAAGGTAGCAAAAATTACTTCCAATGTCATCTTCTAGGAGTTCTCTGGGAAATTTTCTCCACTTGCATGGTATGAGGTAAAGATTGGGTTTTATTTTTTTTCCAAGAAAAAAATGATTTTTTTTCCCCCAAAAGTACATAGAACCTTTTAAAGAGTCTAGCCGGGCTCGGTGGCTCAGCCTGTAATCCCGTGCCTTTGGGAGACTGAGGTGAG